TGAAATACTTTGTTTAGCTTAGCAAATCCATATGAATATTTAGTCGAAAATAACCAAAATCCTGTCACTTACTTAATTAACTGCATAAAATCTAGAGATGTTATGCATGACACTACCTGCGTGAATGCAAGCAAATACCTCCAAGTGGAGCTATTCAAGGATAGGAGTGAAAATCAACTTACAAAATCATTATCAACCTATTCAACCTTTCTGTCAAATGGCATGATAGACTAAACTTCTACGTTCTCACCTGGACCGAGACAGAGTGTCTTTATGACTACCTCAGCTTCAATGTTCCAGGAAAAGCAAGCAACTACGGATCAAGTTGAGTCACTTACAAATCTATCCATTACACACTTTCACACGAAATTTAAGTCAGCTCGAAAATGTGTTTCCTCAATTAAATGGCGTAATCACGAGTTGTGCAGGCCGCTTTTATTTCCACAGCCTACTCATATCCATAAAGTTTGTACCATAAATTGACGGTTTGCTTTTTTTGTGTTTGCTAAATCTTGAGTCGTAGAAAAGTCTCTTTGACCAACTTTATAACACTCTTATAAATTACAGATGCTCCACGAAAGGGTAGTCCATTTGAATTTAGATTCTTAGCTGCTTTAATTAAATTCAAAAGACCATTTTTTATAATATCGGTTGGACCTTGTTTTCTCAACTTAGTAGGAGCGTCAGAGAGACCTTGTCGAACTTAATTAATCCTGTGTCATCTGCCATAGTATTCGTTATTTCCATCATCGGACCATTAACTTGGTTAATTCCCAGACGTTTCGCCTACATCGTAGCCGGCAGCACTTGAAGCCAGGCAAAATAGAGACTAGGAGTTATGCCACGCGGTTTAACAAAAGATTGGTTTAAGGGATTGCCTTCACTTGCCACTTTGATAAGTTCTAACGATGGCGCCTCTTACTGACCATGCCAACTACGATGTCGTCGAAAAGTCTGGAAATATACCAAGTTAACAGTCCGATTACTATGAAGGATGATACAGGGCTAGATACTTTCCACTACGTCTCCCTGACGCTTCGACCAAGTTGCGAAAACAAGGTCGAACCAACACGATAAAGCTAAACGATACTGCGACCAAACAGAAGGCCACACGATCTTGGTCTTCACATCTAACATTTTTTATATTTTTTTATTTTATCCAGTTCATCTTTTTTAACCTTGTATATTTTTTTACTACGTGGTCTGTATCCCGTTTTGATGTGCAGTTTTACAAGAAATACATTGTAAATTTTCCATAAGACACTATGGATTTGTGTGCTTTTTCTCAGAATTCATTTCTTTTGTCTAATCGAAAGTGTGAGGGTTAAGATAGTGTTGCCTTTACTATATTTATGATAAGTTTTAATGTCGAACGTTCTCCTTGATACATTTCAATATGCTTCGCAAGTATAATCAACAAGCCTTGCCGTTTCTGTATTAAGTCCACGATCTGACGCTAGAAATTATCATATAGGACAGAGAACTCCGAACTAAGTGCATTCATTTAGGTCTCTCTGATAATACGACCAAGAGGCAAAAAGGTCGTCAAACCACTTTGTTTATATTATTTCTTAACATCATTATACTTGGAATTTATAGTGTAGAATTGAGTTTTATTGTGACTCACTAAAATAATTTGCTTATTTGCTTTATTTATGTCTATAATTTTGCTCAGTGAGATTCATGGCCAAAATTTTTATTCGTATCCGTTAAAGACTGATATGGTTATAAGCATTACCTGTTTGTATATTACACCCATCTTCTTCGCATTAAAATGTAGGCTCAATGTCATAAGTTAGTTGCAAGCTAGTTAACGGGAATATTCGTTCTTTTCTTGGCTACTAGTAAAGGTCTATCTCCGTAAACAGAATGCTCGTCGAAATTGAAGGGACTCTGAACGCTCTTGAATATATTTAAATCTCATGCTGATGGCAGTATTCTTCCCTGCGATTGCTTTTGGAACGTGCATGACATTAATCAAGGCTATCAGGGATATCTTTGACGTCTAACTTCTAGATAAACTTCCCTAGAGCAAAGCGAAAGCATTACTTTGTTCATAAAGATCATTTACAACAATATATAAAAAGTCATTTCTTCCGAGGATTTGTAGGTAAATACTTTCCTCTCACAACTGGAAACGAATTTTAAGACAAAAATTAAATGTTGTCAAAATATGGAATTTGAAAGGAGGCCAGCCTTTTCACAGATGTTATCGCAACTGCCTGAAGAGATTATATTTGGAGTGATACACTTACTGTGCCTTGCTATCAACAAACTGGAATTAAGTGAACTATAGGCGCTGTCCAAATCATACATGCCAGGATATGTCTTAAACACGGGCTAAATATTTTTTCCAGAGCCAGATCTAAATGAGCAAGTATTTCATTTCATGTCAAATCAAACAAAAATGGCCCAAGAATAGACAGCAACTATGGGCTAAGAATTTTCTGTCCCCCAGCATGCGCAATCAGATTTGGACACTGGCGACTTAGAACGCCAATGCTCGCACAACATTTGGGATAGCTTGATCCAGTTTTAAGCTTGTAGGCCAGATTCCAGTCGGAATCGTCCATGGTACAGAAGCATGGATGCATCTCTCTTGCTACCTAGGCATCTATGGAAGCAGTGGAGAGGAGGCTGTAGAAAGTATGGGCAATACTCCGAATGATAGCGAGATGGAGGATCCATAGCTATATCAGACATCAGGATTTCGGATTGGGAAACAGAACTATGCTGTTCCAAAACTAAAAGGGTTAGGTCGAAAATATGAAGAATAGGATGGTATGGTTTGGCCACAGCCTTCTTTATATGAGATGTGCTCACCCTATTTCGTTTAAGACGATGAAAAACTTATAATTGACTTTTCCCCGAAGCATATGAGTAGACTTCAAATTTTCAATGAATTTCCTATAGCCTTGCTTCTCTAAAGGTATTCTAATCAAAACTAAAGTCGGCTGCATTTTCGACCCCGTCTAAACTGGTCTCATTAGCAATCCAAGCTGGACTCGAACCATGACACTTCAGTGTATAATCTTGACATTTTGACCACTACACCGACTACCAAAAGTGCCCTTGGGTCACAGGGCAGATTTGAATTTAAAAGAAGGCCAGGAATTTTCCCATATCACATTCTGTAGTGAAATTGTCGATAAAGATAATTTTTATTTGCTATAGCAATTGAAAAAATACTTACAAACGGAAAATAAGTAATTTAGTCAATTTATATTACAAATATAACTTTGCTTCTTCGACAATCCCACCAAAGAAATGTGATATGGGAAAGGGAGTCCAGCTGAGATGCTGACTAAGCCAATTTATGGGGGGTTAAAACTGCAGTCCACTCCAGTTTGGACGAGAATACCTTTTTGGGAAACAAGGCTATCTTTAATTCAAATGAAACTTAAGGCCTACTCATGTTATTATGGTAATATTCAGCGAAAAGTCCTTCATAACTTCAAATTAAATATGCTGGACATACCTTATATATCTGATTTACTGGTAACTCTGAAAACCTACTTACAAACTAAAAAGCAGTTTCCCTTTGTTTTAGTGTTAATTTTATCTATTTGTTAGCAATTTCTTAAGGAGGACTAGGGAAATCGTGTGGAATATATCAAGTCCTGTATCCTCCGCCGCAGTATTCACGACAATTTTCAGCCCAGACCCGTTTAATTGGTACATTCCCAGACAAGGATGGTGGCGCAACATCTGGGCATGTACAGTCACCGGATCGATGCTAGAAATAATCTTAACTACTCAGGAAAACGTAGCAGGATTGATTACTTTTAATAATGTCTCTCTTTTCCCTGATTAAGGGATTTTCTCAGCCGAATCTCCTTTTGTTGGTTTCTTACATATTATTATCTTTCCACTCATTTGTTTTTTTGTCCTCAAATTAATCTTACACGTTATTTATATTTATATTTGCTCATTTATACATCCTCTATTTACTTATCCACTTGCATCAATATTTCACAAATGAGAAACCCGATAATCCCCCAATAGGTCTAGCAACATAAATGAGCAGACAGTAAGGACGTTATTCTCCATTTATAGGTATGCTTTAGAGACTATCAGTAGATCATATATATGAGGTGTATTCATCCTATTTCGTTTAGACTGATAAAGGGACAGGGAGTTGAATTTTCCCACAATGATATGAGTAGACATGACGTTTCTACTAAATTTCACATAGCCTTGCTTTCCCAAAAGTTATTTCCATCCAGGGTCGACTGCAGTTTCTACCACCCTTAGTTCACAGGGCAGATGTTAATTTAAAGGAAGGCCAGACATCTTCCTATATCGTATTCTGTGTTGGGATTGTCGATATAGCAAAGTTGTATTTTCTATAGCAATCGACTTTGCTAAATCGACATTCTCACCACAGAATGTCATATGGGAAACTGACTGGCCTTCCTTGAAATTAATATCTGTTCTGTAAATCAAGGGCACTCGTGGCATTGTGTTGTGGTGGTTAATGTATCGAGATTATACACTGCAGTGTCATTATTCGAGTCCCGCTAGGAGTGTTGCTAAAAAATAGCCGAGGTCGAAGCTGCAGTTCATCTCGGATGAGAATGATGGATGGACGTTTTGGAAAGCATGGCTATGTTAAATTCAGTAGAAGCGCCATGTATACTCATATCATTGTGAGAAAATTCAGCTCCCTGTCTCTTTATCACCCTAAACGAAATAGGATAAAGATGACCTCATAATAAGGATCTTTTGTGCTTCTCAGGTCTTTTTGTTATCGCAGCAGAGAAATTAGCAAACTTTGAAACACCGTTGAGAGAACGAGTTTTGTAATGTGGGCAGAATAGAATAAGGAAGGATATGCTTGAGGTATTTTGCGTCTTTCAGTTGCTTATCTTTGGCTTAAAGGCTCTTTCTTACGTGTCTTTAAAATTGTGGTAAGTTTGACAAATAAAAAGGCATGCTGCTCATTTTTTGCCAGATATGTTAGACCTTTTCGATTATATTTATACTTCACATGCCTAATTATGTTTGTCCTTGTACGTTGTGATCTTACATCTGAATTCTTTTTTCTTTCGTTTTCCCAGTGACTCAGTCCGGTCCGAGTGTCCAGGCTGGAAGCGCACCCACCGAGACGATTAACTGTGTGGTCACCACGACCACGGTCACCAACCCTGATGGCAGCCTTAAGCAACTTACGACTCGCAAAACGACACGAACCCTGATGACGACGACCACACGCACTCGCCTCCTGCGCCGAATTATCGGGCCAGACGGTTCCGTCCAGGAGATAGAGGTGCTCGACGCTCCCGATGCCTCGTCCTCCGGTATGCCTTCATCCATACCGCCTCTCATAGTCTCTCCCACGTCCTGCTCGACCACACCTCTGGGGGCTTCTGCCACCAACTCGACAGAACCGGTCAGAAATGCTCCTCCCGTAGACGTGACGGCAAAGGAAGGCCTCGATGATCGTGATGTAGGTAAAATCATCATTCATAGTACTATATCAGCGCCTGGAGCAACTCATATGGACGGGCAGGAGCACAAACTGGGCAGCAGCTTTCACACGTCTGCCACATTTGCCTACGTCCCACCACAGTCAACCATATCTGAGGTCACCTACGAAGCTGAAGATGAGGATGCTGATGATGATGCTAATGATGATGATGAATACGAGGAAGGGGAAGAGGAGGAGGAAGAGAAGGAAGGTTCTCACGAACCGGAAGGAATGGAGGAGGAAAATGATGGAGATACGAAAGAAGACAATGCCAGGGCTGGCAAGGAAGAGGAGACCGAGCCACTGGCTCGCAGTGGACAGGGGAGCCGGGCTGGGGGCAACCGGCAAGGCTCGGCTATGACCTCGTTTTCTGGGGGTCTCAAGGTGCGGGAGACACCGTCAACGGGACACTCCAATGGCCTACTCAAGGGTGCTGGGTCCCACTCCACTTCGGACAGGATCGACAGAGTCCAGCGTGCCAACCCGCCTAACAAGCGCAGTGCAAGGCGAGTCGGGAAAAGCAGCGAGGCAGTAGAGACAACCGACGAGGCTGAGAAAGCATGGCCAGCTTTCGGACGCCCGAAGGCCAAGCAAAAGGTGATAACCACAGTTAAGAAGAAGGTTACATCTTCAGCCTCCGCCGCTATTCTGACAGGAGGAAAAGTGACAACTTTGTCTGGAAGCATCGAGTATGAAAATATATGAGTTAAATTCATTTTAATTCCTCACTCAACTTAAACATTCGTTTTGATGTTGTTCTATTCCAGAGGGAATTCGCAAAATTTTTTAATATACTCCGATTTAGGAAACTAGTTTGATCCTCCCTGTTTCTCCATTTTATTCCCTTTCATTCCATTCACCTCTTACTAGTGCCATACGCCTATCTATTCACAAAAAATATTATTCTCGCATTCTTTTATCTTATCTGCTCTAATCCCCTCGGGTCTATGCCATATGAAGCGATTTCCTGCGAGTCTCACAGGCCTTTGTTGATCTAAAACAATCTATATAAATTCGATTCAACCACACAATGGTTATAAGGAAGCCTACTTATGCTGAAACGCTTGACTTATTATGTGCCCATCTCATAAATCTTGTATTTGATCATGGTGTTTAGGGCCTAGGAGTCAAAAGTTTAGTTAAAATCGAGTCAACTTGTGAAACTGAGATACGCTTCTGTGTATATTACAGGCTATGATATTACAAATACGTTGGTTTGCAACAAAAATTTCTCAAAACTTGGTGAAGAGCCTTTGGACCTCTTGATTCAGTCTCAACTCTTTCGGCTCACCGGAGAGGTGGCTATGATGGAAACCCCAAGCAATTTTCCTTTTTAATACTAACATTTACCAGATTTCTGACGCTATATAATTTTAATTTATAGATTCCTGACATTTTTGCTAGGTAATCAGATCAATATTATTATCAAAGCTAACATGCCTTGCCGGTCACTGTCAGATTTACCTCTGCAGCTTCGCTGAAAGAGTTTTGTTTTACGATTGGTCTTTAGCTTTTGCTTTTATTCCAAAACGTAGACTCTGAAAATGTCCCGACGAGGATCATTTGTAAGGTTGCACTAGTATACTTAAGTAAAGTTCAAATACTTTATTCGTTATCGCTACAGGTATGCGGGTGTGTCTGTGCGCAAGTGTGTGAATGTGTTAGCACACTGTAATGTAGGTGGATACGAGGCAGGTTGCGAGAGTAGAAGATCTCTTATATTACCGTTTAGACATTAAATACAGCTCACAACACAAGAAAAAAATCGGCTAGCTTGATAAATGCTACGACTCTGCATGACCAAAGAGATTGAAAAAATTATTTTCCTGCTACTCCTGTATTTCTAATAGTTGATCTGTTGCAGCCACCAAGAAACTGACTCTAATATGGTCGTTTGATATAGTTTTGTTGGAATTGAAAGTTATCATACTCCCAATGGTGCGAAGAAGTGGCTTGATTTTACACTGAACTTCACTGTTCATCTCTAACTGCTTTCTTGTGCAGATCAGAATGCAATTCACACATGGCTTATTCGTTCCATCGCGTCATCAGCGGAAGTCTGGCTGTGCTTGGTCTCGAGAGTCGGGTTTGTCCTATAACTTCCTAGGAGCTTGAGGTTAGGGTGAAACGTGTTTCCCTTTGAAAGCTCATTTTCACGTTTCTTATCTCACCGAGAAGAGGCCGAATCAGCAGTCTAAGCTAAATTAGAGCGGTATTTCATTGGATTAATGGCTCAGAGAAGGTAATACAAAAGAATGTCTTCTCTCCAAACCGTCGAGTAAAAAGCACTATTACTTTTGATAACACGAAAGGAAACTGTCAAATAACCACATATGGCTACCCAGATATGGATTACTCAGCTCCTGTGAAACAAACGATGACGCTGATGCTCTCAGGGGAAGTCGAATTGAGCCGGCTCCTAAGTTATTTTTATTTTGAAGATGTGATTTTGACCATTTGAAGTAGGTGAACTTTAGTGTTATCCTGTTGAGTTCGGTTAAATAAAAGCCGTTAATCATGTTAGTTGTGCTCCAAGTCGGCTTATATTTAAACACAAACTTTCCCCTCACTTTGCTTCACTCCATTGCTTTTTATTTCTTTCAACCCGTCTAAACCTTTTATTCCTACAAAGATCTTCCATTGTATAGCCTATTTTTCCTTTTGCTCTGATTTACTCTTTTATCTCTTATAAATTCCAAATTACTCTGGTTCTACATTATTTTTTCTTTACGTTTTGCGCTCTAATCTTCTCTTTTTTACTATCTTCTTTTTCATCCTATCTAGTAAAGATTTTTCTCTCAATGCATATTTAAATTTTTTTTAGATCCCCTCGCTAATTTCAAGTCCTAGATAACTCTTTCCGCAAAGGCACAGTGCCTTTGCATTAGTATTCCATTCTTTATTCGCCTATTTGCAAGTCTTTCTGAACCAAATTATTGACATGTCTTTTTCCTCATTATTATCTCTGGATATTTCAGAGTTATATTTGCCATATTCCTCTCATACTGATCCCATTTTATTTTATGGGAACTATTTCTTGAAAGCATCCGTAATCCAAGAAGTAGCAAAGTTTT